CAGAATTAATGGCTATCTCTACGCTGTTGACTTGGATCGAATACTGTCCCAAGTTCAAAACAGTAAGTTTAGTGGGTGTTGCAGCAGCTCACCCTCCATCAGTTTCTGCGTATTTCCTTGATTTTTTTTTTTTTTCACTTGTACTTAAAGGAGATGACGATCTTGAGGGGGGGGTGTGTGTGTGTGGCGTGCGTGTTTTGGTCGAAGGTCGTGAGAATTGTGTTTGCTTTGCTTTTCGAAAGCAATTGTGGGAAGAGTGGGCACTCTTGATGAATGTTCAATTATTTAGAGAGGGATTGGATATGGACGGTCAACATGTCGTTTTCAATATATTTATATTTCCTCGATGGATTAAGAGATTGTTTTGCCATAAAAGTGATAATGAAGTTCGTCTTTACTAAAGAGAGACAATTTGAATGCTTTACGTCTGCTTGACATTTCAAATTATTGGAGGATATAATTGACAGCGGACGACGATGGTTCCATTTGGCTACAAGACTCTTATATATGAATTAAATCAATTAATCCTATCACAGAACTTTTGTCATACACGGGTGTGTGGCTTCAACTTTATTAGATATAGAAGCTTCATATCGAAATTCGCCATCTCCCTAAGTATACATATAACCTGCTAGAGTTACTGAGCATGAGAAGGTCGGCATATAATGCATATATATCGAACATGACATCTGCGAAGAAGAGTTAACTTTCACTGACATCTTGTCAAGTGATTGACTAACTAAGAACAAGAAAATATTCTATCTATCGTTATCTCACTTGTGCCATGGTGCCAATGATAAAAGGTGGCAAAATTATATACACTGGCATATGCGTAAATCGTTTCCAAATCAATTTTTTTTGATGATTTAGCGTTCTACCTCTCGTAAATTGAAAATTAGTAAGATCCGTTCTGTGAACTGTTTCTTCCCTTCAGGAAACTATACAAGTGTATGCTCTAATTTCATGAGCTCGCCCGGTCTACTTTTCTTTTCTTATCTTTTAAACTTACTATAATAAGAAAGCAGCAGATTAATAATTAGGACGAATTTTTCTTTGACTGATGAGGATTGATTCCCTTTTCATACGGCTAGAAAGAAGCAAGAAAGAAAAAAATTAAGAAAGGATCTTGGAAGCTTCACCTGTGCCCTACATGCTAAGTTCTTGGTCCTTCCCAGGCTGCGAATCCAATCATCATCATCATCATGACACACACACACAAACAAACTAATAATCGCTCGCGCCATCACAAAAATTAGGAATTCAAAGAGTAGTGATGTATACGGTATACCTATAAATTTAGGTTTACCCCAAAAAAATGTTAATTATAATGTAATACTTGGAGAGTACAAAACTATATTTTAGAAATTATTTTTATTTCAAAACTAAGTTATCACTAAATTTAATAATCTAGTTAAATTCAGATTAGAATGAGGCTATAGTCAGAATTTTTTATGAAAAAAAAAATACTCACAAAATAAAGGTTGGAAGGACAAAATGAAGAGAAGATGGGGATATGATTTGGAACGAAATATAGCATAAGAATTTTGAGACGATCAATTATATGATAGTATAGAGCATATAAAAACTATTAGTTAAACTAATAACGATAGGGGATCGGAGGGGAGGAGGCAAAAGATGAAGAAAGGATGATTCTATGATTAGCGGGGGCCTTTTTTTCTCTTGAGGGGGGGTGTTGGGTGTTTGGAATGGGGGACCCACCAAGGGATGGGATGCCCGACCGCTGGCATCTCCTGAGTCCTGACTTGGTCACTGATTGATGTTTAGTGCATTGCACATCACATTGTGCGACTTTAGTCCTTTACCTTTACTTCCATCTCCCATCTTTAATTTCATCGTCCCCCACTCACTCCCAATTCACTTAACTTCTTCGGATTTATCCGTATCATTTACGCACAACAAACATATATAAATAAATGCTAACTTCGGTCCTTAATATAGAATTTTGTTTGATATTTATTTTGATTCTAAATATAAAACCCCAATCCACTTTATTTCTCATATTCATTCATTTTTTTCCAAGATAGTCATTCTAGTAATATTAGTTCTAGCTAATAAAATTGATTATCAAGGATATTTTAGGAAAGACAATATCTATTTATTACAAATAACTAACTTAACTTACTTCCTTAATCCATTCAAATTAGTCAACTAGCTCTTATATATCATTACAACAAGACATTGCTTTTTTCCCCGAGTCTTTAATTTATTTTTAAAAGTTTTTTCTTTTAATTTTTAGCAATTTTCCTGCGTAATTAACCTTTTCTATGTTTCAATGTTATTCAACACAATTTCCTGTTATGCGAATAAAATTAATATTTTAAACAAAATCATGGTTGTTGCGGACTACTTTTTTGTTTTTTTATTTATTTTACCTTTAAAAAAATGGGAGAGAAAAGTTGTGGCATGGGGACCTCAACGTCAATGGCGACCTATCAACCTACATACAGCACTTGAATATAATGGCCCTACTTATTTTGTCTTCTCCATCTTTGCCTGATTTACTATTACAAATTCACTACTCGTCAACAATTTGCATCCATATATATATATATATATATATATTTTGTAAATGCGTAGTTTTATATATATACTCTTCATATCTTTAATATAAAACATATTTAATTAATTTGATTAGATTAAGAAAGTTAGGTAAATTAGTTAATTATAAGAAATATAATATACTTTTTCTAAAACACCATAATCATCTTCTTTACTATTTTCTCTCCTCTTTTATTTGATTATGGTTGAAAAAGTATCTATAGGAGTAATTTAAAAAAATTGATAAATATGAGAAATAAATCTTATATTTAGAACCAAATTAAGTCAATAATTTTTAATTCTTATATTAAGGACCGGAGAAGTAGTTTTTATCTACACAAAGGGTATAACAAGCAACTTTAAAAAAACAACTAATGTAAAGGACGTCGGACTTAGCTATATATGTATATAGCTCACAAATTAACGACTGCATCGATCTCATCGCTTGCTCAACACAAGAGAGCTACACACACGCACACACAGCTCACGTACGCCCCCTTTACTTCTAGTTGTTATTAGTTGATTAGATTTCCTTAACATTTAACATATTTCCCCCGCGTTACCAAATAAAAGATGAACACAGACAAGACCCCCTTCGTCCAGCATAACCGGTAATTAGTGAACATGAACGTACAAAGAGATGGAGTTAATAATCAGCCAGATATTAAAATTACCGTAATTTATTTATTTAGTTCTTAAAGTATACGGAGCAGTTATTCGCTGAAGACTGTGTACGTAAGTGCTGAGTATTTTTAAGTTAGTATGCAACATATATCATGCATGCACGTAAATTTACAAAAATTAGTACAGCCTATGGCCACATTATGTGTGAGAATATAATGTATAAAGATTTCTTAAAGCCGAAGAAACGTTGAAATGAATGATGATTTGCACTTCACTGCCTGAAGGGTTTCTCAGTTCGGGTGTGACCCCTACCCACTTACAAAAAGAATGGATTGTTTTTTACAAAAACAAATAATCTCTCCCACTTCGTTAATTAAAAAAAGGGAGGTCTAGGTCCACAGGAAAAAGAGCAAAGCACGAGTCGACAAAAGGGACGCGTTAATCTAATAGGCGTTCTCAACTTGAAGCATCGATTAATTAAAGTTGAGAGGAAGCTATTGTAAGATTATGGCGTACCTACTTGCATATATCAAAAGATATTCATCATAGAATTGGATCAACTGAGCATCTCAGTGCTCTGCTTAACACTTAAATTTATTGGTGCTGACTGCTGACTACACAAATAAAAGTAAAGCAATGGGCAACTAACGCCAATTTGATGGATAAATTTAACAGATTTGTGTTACCATTTTCAATAATATAATTGTTGATTAACTTTCTTCCTTCTTTAATTATTCCATTTGTCGCATTCCCTGATTTGTTTCGTGCATGATTCTCTATTCTTAAAAGGATTCTCTTTATTTATATATTTATGTATTCACTCATATTTTAGTCATATCTTTTTATGTTGTCCAGAAACGCATTTAAATATAAATATAAATTATTAATCTAAATACATAAAAGTTTTGGATGAAAAATAAAAAAAATTTGATGTTGATAAACTGTCACTTTATAAGAAAATAAAGTTATTATTCGGCAATTATAAATTAAAAAGTTTTAAATCTAGATCATCCTAATTTAATTTGGAAAATTTTAATCACAGCGATAAGCACCAAAATTCAACTATTCGTTCAGCGATATATCCTGAATTAGCTGGCCTGGCCATTAATCTATGATCGCATAGTTTACGCCATGTGTCAAGGATCAAGGGATTATGAATGGGGGACGTTTTTCCGCGTAAATTTTTCGAGAACTGGTGACACATAATTTTTAATCTGTTGTCCCGACATTAACCATAAAAATATACGTCACTTCCTTCCAACTTAATTTTCATTGTCACATAATTAATAATAGACCTGCGAGAATGTCAGTAGGGTCCCGTTCCATTGAGGATCGATCAAATTCTTTGATTACGTGAGCCGATTCCACCATGGGCCATCGATTTGACAGCAACCTTATCACTACGGAATTCTGTTGTTTGAATACAAATATAAAAATACGGAGTATAAAAAAAAAATCTAACTATTTACCTTATTTATAATTCACAATAATGTATTTTTTTCCCATTGCTGGATGCATGGGATTTATACTAGCTATAGCGAGTAACGTTAACTTCAAAAAATTGTTGTACTCTTGAAAACAACTGATTAGCTAGCCAGTCTCTTCTTGCTGGTACGGGGAAAAACCCTTTTTTAATTGGCGTCTGTCTTCCATGCATGGGAGCCACTCTACTTTCTTTATTAATGGCCAAATTTACAGACCAAGGCCGCAGAAAAGAAGCTTATGGGTTAAGAAACTTCGTCCCACTAAAAACCCTAAAAATATAATAAAACAAAAAGAGAGATGAACGAAATGAGGGAATAAGAGCAAAGCAAAAACAAAAGCCTCTTCTTGCTTTCTTTCCTCTTCCTCCTTCCCTCCCTCCCTCTCTCTTTAATGATCCCTTTTCCCCTCTTTCTTTCTCGGCTCTGGTATTCCCTTAGTGTGATTCTCCACCATCTCTAAAGACCCATCCAACTTTACAAAAGAAAATAACATAAAAAGATAACCAACACCATGGTTTTCTCTTCTATTCCAGTCTATTTAGATCCTCCCAACTGGCAGCAGGTAAGGTTTTCCCCCCAATTTCAGCCACAGCATAAACAAAAGATTATTATTCCTATTCTCTGTAATATCTTCTTGAATATACCTGATTTCTGTGTTTACATTTATATATAGTCCTACTTCCTACCTCAACTGGGATTATTCTGTGTTTTGCAGCAACAAAGTTATCATCAAACAAATGAGATCAGTGAGCCTCCGCTCCTGCCTCCACAAGCGCCTCATATGGTCTCAATCAGGCCTGGATCGATGGCGGATCGAGCCCGGCTTGCAAAGATACCACCGCCGGAGGCAGCTCTAAAGTGTCCTCGCTGTGAATCTACCAACACGAAATTCTGCTACTTCAACAACTACAGCCTGTCTCAACCCAGGCACTTCTGCAAGACCTGTAGGCGTTACTGGACAAGAGGAGGCGCTCTCAGGAACGTTCCGGTTGGCGGAGGATGCCGCAGAAACAAGAAGACCAAGAGAAGCCGCTCCAAGTCTCCGGCAGCCTCCGACAAACAGCCACCGTCTAACCCCTCATCAGGCGGGGCCGCCATAGCCACCGAGCTGATTGGTCATATGCCGCCCCAAGCATCTAATTTACAATTCATGGCGTCCTTACAGAATCTGAGTCGCTATGGCGTGGGAAGCATGGGCCTCAACTTGCAAGGACAGAGTGATCACATGTTTCCCATTGGACTTAATGGAAGTGATATTTCGAGCGGAGGACTGGATCAGTGGCGGTTAAAGCAGTTTACTTTCTTGAATGGTTTTGATCAGTCAAGTTCAGCTGCTTCTGCTTCAAACCCATTTCAAAGCGAACTTGGGAATTCTAGGGTTACGCAGCTGCCGCCAGTTAAGTTGGAAGACAATGGAGCGCTAAATTTGTCCAGGTCGCAAGCTCGGAGTATATCAGAAAATAACAACCAATACTACTCATGGACTCCAACCACAGATATTATATCAGGCCTTGCCTCTTCTTCCACGACCCATGTGTTGTAATTTCCAAATCAATTAATTGTTATTGCACCACCATCTGTAGTGCATCGGAGAAATTCAAGTTCCCGGATGGTGTAGATGCTCAGCCCAACTTCCCCAGGCCTAGTCCCAGATATGGTCAGAATTCGATACATAGATATATATATATATATATACACAGCCATATATAGACATATGGACGTATTGTTGTCTTTGTTAATGTTTTGGATATCGTGTTTCTTGTGTACTATATGAGCTTGCTTTGTATAATTGTGTGTGCATGTACGATGCGTTATGTTTTCTGTATGCTATCTGGCGTTATGACCTCATCTCAATACAAAATCTTCGGAGGGAGGTTACGTAGCTAAACGGGTGCCCGTTTCTAGACGGTTACGACTAGCCCCCACACTGCTTCTCAAAGTTTTCTTTCATGGATGCCACGTTCATCGGTAAAGAATGCAAAACTGACACTAAAGAACGTGACTCCTCCTTTGCTTCGTCCCAGGCAGTGTATCTCGGGATGGTAGCTTGGGACTTCAAGATTTAGTAGTTTTAATTGTCTAGTTAATGTTTACATCTTGCAGCTCGATCCTATGCAAGTTCACATAATATATAATATCTGCCGCGAAAATACTCCTCAGCAAAGCCCTGTGCATAATGGTCTGGAGTTTTGGATATAATATGCTGGTACTTATATATAATCAAACGTCCAACACAAGTTGAAAGTGTAAAGTAATTAATAGACTCTCCATATTTCATGAAGGTGGCCGGACTTCTACGGACCTTGAGTTGCAAGAGTCGTATAATGCCCCCGCGCCCTTAATTAATTATCTCCGTAATTATGGCAAAATTTGAATGGCAGCTCGTACGTAGTGTTCGACTTCTAGAATGCTAATAATTGAATCATATTTTTTTTTTTTACATCTCTGTAATAGACTTGTAATTGGGCAATATTACAGAGTTTGAGAAGCTTTTTAATTATTAATTTTTAATATTCACAGTGTATAATATTTAATAAGTATACGGACGAATTATTGCAAAAAAAAAAATCTAAGAAAGAAGCAAGGCTTTAATTCCCGCGATCAGATTAATTAATCCCTTTCTGGTTTCTCCTTCACCCGCCAGAAATAAAACCTAGAAGGACGTGGGCGGGTCAAGAGTCGAGCAAAGGAAAGAGAGAGGATGTCAAAAATGGTGTGTTATTTATAAGCCAAGAGTTGAAGTTAATTGCAACGATATGTGAGGTTAGATTTCATGTGAGAGCCATGGGACGTACTTATTTGTTTGATTTGAGGTTGAGAGTAGACGAGATCAGACATTCAGATGGAAGCATTTGAGGAAGACGCCAAAATCCACACTCAAAACCATGCAATTCCATACCCGACCAAGCCTAAGAGGGTGATCATTCTAGAACTTCCTAGGCACGATGGAGCAAGATACAAACGACATGAATTAACGCATCATTGTAGTATATATTATGCCCCTGAGATCTCAAAAGAAGAGAAAAAGATTCTACGGTCAAAGGAAGTTCGAGACCTTATGAACTCGCCCTCTCAAACCCACTCTCCTCCTTTGGAGCGATCAACTATCTCTATCTCGCACACTTCAAATTATATACGGACTCAATTGGTTATGGGATTGCTTTCCAACTCTCAAAAATATTTTTAAAAAACATTTTTCTACCAAACGAAATAAATTCCTCTATATACTTATTTTATATACTGTAAAAACACTTTTAAAATTATAATTTGGTTTCTATCTAAACACTCATAATATATTCTAATTAATCCTACCGGAAACAACGAATAATTTAACTAAGAAATAAAAATAAAACACATCAGGAAAAGGCACAGCAATGAGAGGATTACTTTTGCAGGGACCGATACAGCTTTCAAGAACGAATAAAGCAACAAAACCAGTAGAGACCAATGCAGATAAAAGCCCTCCCTGTGTTCGTCTGTCGTGACCCTGTCTAAGAGGGACGTAGGTGTCCAACGTGGCATCCTTTGATCCAAAAATGTCGGTGTCAGTGCCCCCCGGGGAAAAACCATTTCTGTAAAAATAAATAAATAAATATTATTATCGTTATAAATTACTTTAAAATTTATAACAATTAAGTCATCTGTCTGTATAGCTCTAATGACCATAAAATATGAGCCTCGTGAGTTGTGAGAAATTTAAAAAATAAAATGCAGTATAATAGGTTTATTGAAAATTTTAAAATATGACGAGAAAGACGGAAATTTTAGATGAAAACCCAGAGGAAAGGGGGTGTGTCAGTAAAATTCCGGAGGATGGCAGGGTCAAAGGGACGGGGGGAATCAAAAGAGGCACAGAAATTGATGCAGAGCTGTGGACGTGTACGTGGCGAAACCTGCGCCGTTGGATGGGTAAGGGATGCAAAAGCAAAAGGTGCCTCACTACCCTGCATCGTCTTTCTTTCTTTTCCGAATCCCCCCTTGGTTCTCTGCCACTTTCTCATTCTTTTTCTCCTTCGTCTTCTTCTACTTAAGTTGTGGCCTTTGCCCTCTCTGCTTTTTCTTTTCTGTAGATGCGCGGGACCCGTCCCCCACATCAATGGCGTCCCACGCCACAACGCAACTATTTATTTACGTACGCACACAGAGTCCTCTTTATCGTCCTCATAATTGGTAACGTAACACTCATTACTGAAGATATGAAAGGGGACATTCGCAATCATTTTACACTCTAGATTATAATACTAGAGTGCCTCAATATGACAGGTTCTTACAAGTACTTCTGGTTGGGTGTTACCATGTAGTAATATGAATTGCACCTCAGTTTATTAGAGATTTGTTGGGACTTTATTACCCGTGATGTCAGCTCAAGATGGCCATGTTATGGCAATATATTATGCATAGCGCCTCATTTTTCGTCCAAATGTGAAAATAGGTCTATGTTGACCTCCCCTGACGATCAAGGGACCAGATTGATGAGCTTAAGTTCATAGTTTGGATTTGATGTCATGCATTTATCTTAGCGTTCTGTGGCAATCTCAACCTGCGAAGCAACTTGTCGATCGCTTGCCATTCTCTTATCCTCCTCTTCTATTCTGCTCTCCTTGTCTGCCTTCTTAGCTCTGAGCCAGTACCAGAGTTTCCAATCAAATCCTTCACTTCATGTGCTGTTGAGAAAAGCCCTTCAAATAGCTCCAAATTTAATCAAGATTTGACCTTTGCCCAGTGCATAAGACGGCACATGGCCGGATCAAATCAGTTTCACAACAATTTGAAGCCCAATCCTCAAATCCTTTTGGTCTTGGAATTTAAACCCAAGGCCCGGTCCAACTTTGCATATATACAACCCAACACATGGCAGGCCGGGGACACCAGCTTGAGTTGGGGTGCAGATCGTCTCCAGCTCGATATATATATGGATACAATACAATTTCTAATTGCAAATTCTTATATCATTTAATGAAGTAGATGTCGTAGAGTTTCAAGGTTATTTTACGTATGCAAAGTTGGAAACACCAACAATATCTCTGAGGTAATTTTGACACCCTCTGTAATTAGTGCCTATTATTAGTTTTTGGTGGGATATCCAATCAGATTGAGTTGGAATATGAATCACAGCCAGTTGAAGTATATCAATGGGGGGAAGTCTAAATGAGGGGAAACATGTTCACTTTTTTGGCCCCCTCCTCGAACTGGCCCGTACCGATTGCGGCACATAATGTATGTGACGTGGGCCAGTGAGGCAGATTTATGCAGCAATCTGTTTTAAGCAAGAGCATTTACGATAGAAGTTCAGGACTAATGCATACTATTTAGACAACACAAAATAGGTTACTTAAAATGTAAAGTAGAATTAAGCGTGTATAAAATTACTAGTATTAGTATCTTACCAGGAATATACTTCATTTATTAGCAGTTTAAAGGAAGCTGATCGAGTTCAATAAAGTTCGAGTTTTGACGAGTTAGAACTTAATCCGGAGTAGTTATTTATAGCTGTAAGTGCTAGATATGCCACCTAGCCGTTTTGTGGAAGCACTGATGATGTCGTTCCCGCTTGAAGGAGAAAGTATCAAGTGTCTCACATTCTCCACACTCCAAATGAATAAACTAGAACAAAATTTTCTTTCTTCTTTTCCTACTTTCGTATTTTTATTCAAAATGAAGAAGGGAACACAAATTTCACACTCAGTACTTGCTCATCTCCAATGCATCCACTCCAAAAACCCACTCTCCTAAAGAAAAATAAGGCTACCTGAGTTAAAATGCACCAGTTTCGCACTTCAAATGGGCACATACTTAGGCTGGGGCAGATTGTGCACGCACACAGGCAAAGGAAAACAAGGCCGCAAGTGAGCCAAAACCATTGATTTGTGTTGATCCCCCTCGTTTCCTTTCTCTCTTTGGATGCACCCAGTTTGGGGGAGCAACGTTGCCGTTAACAAACAGAGAATTTGAGTGTCCCGTGTTTTGGGTTTGAGCCAATACAAACTCATCGTCAGGTCCATATATGGGGATGCTTTGGTTCCTTCTGTTCTCAATAGCTGCTTTTCTTTCCTCAGCTAGAAAATGGCCAAGTGATGCAACATTTTTCTCCTTCCCTTCATTGCCGGCATCATGGCTGGTCCTCCAGCATGAACACCCTAACCATGACCTCCAATTGGATTTCTCTCCCGTCTTTCTCTTCAACACTTGTGTCTTTACCCCTCTCAGTGATCTTCTTGATAGCTCCAAAATGCTTGACACGCCTATCAGGCTCCCAAGCGTCCTACTCTTGTCCGGGAAAAATGACCCAGTTGACTGAATTATAACAACCATTATTTCAGCACCTCATACTAACTCTAGTTATAATCATCATTATAAATACATGTATTTACACAAATATGTGCAGGATTTATTTAATGTGAATGATGTGCTTTTCACAAATAAATGTAATAGAGATTAAGGATATAGGGTCAATATTAGAAATTACAGAACTCTTCAGTACCCTCTGCCCCCACCCCCAAAAAAAAAAATCTCTGCATGCCCTAGTGAAAAAGATTCATCTGCTTTATTAATGTGTAACCATTCTACGCTAAAATTGCAATATTTCCCAACTGGCCCATCCTCTAATTTGACTAAGTTTCTCCTTATTAATTAGTAATCACCTTAAATATCTATAATATATACAGGTCTTTCTAGCCATGCAGAGTGTAGATATTGAACCTAGATTTACTGTGCGAGTCTCGATTGTCCAAGAAAGGCAAAAGTTAATTGTATCAATAGGTAAACTTTAAAACTCCTTTCTAAATTATTGATTCCAATTATGCAATGGAAAGCTGCAGGAGAGGAACAAAGTTTTAAGATGTGATGCCCTTAATTTATTAGTTGATTTGAAAATTTTCTCTAATTAGCAAGTAATTGATACAGTCATTCTAAGTCTTATCACCTGAGTAATGACAGAAGCATGTAATTGCAGAAAAAGACAAGTCGTAAGATCTAAGACACGAAAGTGGAGGGTATCTATGCTAATCGAAACCAGCACGTCACATGATATCTCGCAATGCTTGCTATTGTGGCGGCAACAGCAACATGAAATTACTTCTTATTTTTTGGGTATAGAAACAGAGTCATTTTCGGAACCAAAAGGATCACCTTCAATAATAATGCAAATTCACTGACCTCTGTGTCTAAATCTGAAGAAGAATCTGTAGAAGAAGAGAGAGAAGGAGAACCGGTGACAGCGGTGTTGAATGAGACAGAACCAGAATTGTCACGGTTTCCAGCTAAACCAATCCTCGCATTCAATGGCTGTAAGCCGAAAGGCCATCCCTCATCCTAAGATCAACTCAAATTGGGAAATAAAGCTATGAAATAAGTTCACAACCCTCCAACTTCAGTGGAAGCCAAGAGAAGAAGAGGGTGTAATTTTCAAGTAAGACCCACATTTTCGGAGATGACGAGACAAAAATAAGAATGGATCTCAGGGGAAAAAATTCAAAACACGTATAGAGGGAAGCATATAATAAATACCTGTTGAGCCATGAATGAGCAGAATCAGAAGCTCGCACTATCTATATTTAGTTGAATGTTTGCATAAGAAGCCGGGAGGATAGATCAGGTGTCAGAGCGGGGTGCAAGAATAGTGGTTCTGTGCTGTGCATTTTGGAGCTCGGGAGTGTGGGCTAATGCCAAGAGCGGTGTGTGGTGTGAAGATAGTAAGGTCGGTATAGAGATGAGGGGGCCTACGGTAAAAGTAGAAGAAGAAAGGGTCAAAAAAGAGTGAGCTGAGGAGTGAGAGTGTGAGACAGGAGATTTGAGAGTGCTTGTCACTTGTCAGCTTTTTAACATTGTGGCCGCGTTGTTGACTAGAAGCCCGGAACATCATTATTCATTACTACAAGTCTTTCGAAATGACGTGGATGCCCTCGTTCGAGGAACAGCCATTCAAGATTCTGCAGATATAGCACACTCGCCGGTGAGGGTAATTTACTCCAGCAAAACTAGCTCATGCAATCCCATGAAAAGGTTCTTAAGCAACGTAAATAATAATGATGTCGGGAAGTTGGATCCAGTCCTGTTGCCCCAGCACTGGATGCCATACAATCCCAGAATCCTGGCCGCACATTCCCATTTTGTGGTGCAGGATTCACCAGGGACCCATTTTCACAAATTCTAAAAGCTGTCTCTCCTCACTAGTATTATTCAACCTCGGGTGCCCTTTCACCAAAAGGGAGGAAAAGGTTTCGCATGCCTCCTTTTGACCTCCCCACTCTTCATTCGTCAACACAACACGTTCTGCTCTTTGGGTTTGGGCATCCCATTTCCTGTCTTCTGATTATTTTTTTAACTAAGGAAGCCCATAAAAAATTGGGCCGGCCCAAATTACAGTGAGGAAGCTCCGCGTGTTACTGGGCACAGGAACTTGGATGCGAAACCCAGGTCACGCTTCGTAATGCCCTCCCCATGCAGTTTCGGGTTGCCTTCAATTCCATTACATGACTCCATGGGAAAAGGGGAAAAAGATAAAGAAGGGCAGCAGAGTCGGAACCCCAGGAAGGCGGTAGAGTCGGAATCCCAGGTCCATCTATTTTCAGAGATTGGGCTGGTAATGTGATTTTGACAGTACGATGAAGAGTGTGTTACGCTGTGGGTGTCGCTGATACATGGCGTATTGCTATCAAACTACGATTGGCCCCACGCATGCATGCCTGTCAGCCGCAATGCCCCCGCCACACCCCCACACTATGGCAGTTCCACTTCAAGAATCTAATCAATTACTTGTCTTGTAGTAGCTTCTGTTTTAAATATAAATTCTATTTTTTAGTCTAATTTACATTACAAAATAAATGTTATTTTTAGTATGCCATACTCAAACACTCCCCCGCCTTGTCCGTGTACATCTCTAATGGACGCATATGCAGCTTAAGGATCATGGACAGCGTATCGCCTTTTTTTTTTTCAAAGAAAAAAAAGAACTAAAAAACGGAAGAATTATGAGCTGCCAAAGAACTAGTTGAACACTATTTATTAAATAAATATTAGTTAAATTACCCACAAAATAAATATTATAACAGGACGGCATGTTAGTTTAAAATTAAACTATAATAATACCGACTTATATCACTATACTAATTGACAATCCACGTAAATATCAAAATATTCGATGGCAAAAACTCTTTTTTTTTTTTGGCAATATATGAGGCTGGCTCAAGGAGTTGAAGTAGGATGCGGCGTTGATAAAGATATCCTCCTCTGGTCCTTAATATATGACCTAATTATTAATTTGATTTTGATCATAAATATAAGACTTATTTCTCATATTGATCGTTTTTTTCTAAATTACTTATATGGATACTTTTTCAATCATAATCGAATAAAAGAGAGATGGAGGATATTAAGGAAGATGATTATAATGTTTTAGGAAAAACATGTCATATTTTTTATAATTAACTAACTTATTTAACTTTTTTAATCTAATCAAATTAATTAAATAAGTTTTATATTAAGGGCTAAAGAAGTATATATTATATATATAAATTAACATCACAGACGACGATCAGCTAGGATATACCGGTGCTTTTTATTAGTCAAGTTAGTTTTAAGTCAGTTTTAACTGATATTGTACTCGTGTCACCCAAGAGCAAGTGGTAGTCTCCCTACTCTGAATCATTTCACTAACAAGATATTCTTCTATCGGCCAAATCCTTCATTCTTAGTGAGAATTTTCTCTTATCTCTACTCCTTTTATTTTTCATGTTGATTTGGAAGGGATTTATTTCTCTCCCAACCAAATGGCACGCTAGGCGAAGTCGTTTCTCGGCCATCTCTCTCTCTCTCTCTCTCTCTCTCTCTCTCTCTCTCTGTGGTTTGAGGCCGGCGAGCTGTTAGCCCTAAAGTCTGCTAATTATACACATATGGAGCTTATTTTACTCTAATCACTATGATAATTTTTTGAGTTAAAACGGTTAAGAATAAAAAGATCGATCCAATGACATATTTGACCAAAAAATTTATAAATATCCAATGAGATAAGAACCCTTATGTTGACTAACTACACGAATCCGTAAAAGGAAGAGTATGTGTGATGGTATTCTACGCCACATTTATCGATGAACTTTCGTTAGCAGTTGATTGTGTGGATCTTGAATATACGAAAAAAAAAATGTAAGTATACTGCATAACTGCAATAAAACTTAACCCAAAAAAAAAAAAACAGAGAGAGGAATGGATACCGCCATGCCGGTAGATTATGGAAGTTGGTTATTTAAAAGCTGGGGAAGCAGAAAGGGAAGAGCATCGTGATTCCCAACAAAAAAGAAAAAGGAAACAAAGAAAGGAAACCGTCACAGTATGTTTGCTTCTCCTTGGAAAAGTCAATGCGGTTCATGTTCGCTTTCCGATCCTCAGCCCCCACAAAGTCAAATTCCATCTCACAGACAAAAACACACAAGTCACCTCTTCCCAAAGCTCAGCCCTAACTATCCCATCCCATCGATTGAATTGAATTTATTGTTCTCAAGTCTGAAACACATATCCAGCTCTCTCTATCTATACACGCATATATATATATATATATATTTATAGACACACATCTACCTCATCACATCTTTATGTCGTTCCCATACGCAATTTAATGATATATATGCCCGAAGAATTACTTGAGGATACCGATGGGAGACACCAGCTTCGCATTAGAGAAAAGGGAACTACATCTATAGATTCTGGGAAAGCCATGTCGAGAGCAAGTTTCTACAACCCATCGAGGGAAATAATAATGATATTAAAAAGAAAGATTTACTACGTTACTCATCGATCATTGGAGTGCCATTTCCTCGTCTCACTTTCTTAATCTTACCGTAAAGATCTAGCAGCAACGGCGCCGGAAACAAAGATTCGATCTCTTTGGACAGATCAAGAAAATTTCCGGTGGCGCAAGGTTTTCGCTTGCCGGATGGAATTGATTTGGGCTTCTTGGGAGCAGGCGGACACGGCAGGCTCGATGGGATTTTGTGACCCGAAAGTGTTGGAGTCTTGCACTCATCGTTTGATTCATCAAGATCTTTCTCAGCCTGGAGATCGCGGGGTGGAATTTTGAGCTTCAAATTAGCTGCGGAAACAATATTGCGGGGTCGTTCTCGTTCTTTTTCGCCTTCTGGGTGGTCGCCACAAAGCTCGGCATCTTCTTGGGTTGAAGTACTTGGCCATTTCGTTTCATCGTGGAATTCCACAGTGGGCCTTGCCAACAGACTGAATCCCATCTCGTAAAGCATCAGGTCCGAGCCTGGAATACGGATAACGCGGAGAAATTAATTACGCAAGTAGATGTAGATATATAGAAGTGGATGAAAATGGGTGTGCCCATGAAGAGAGGGTTTTTCTCCACCTTGTTTTTATGAGCTAGTTACTACGAGAGAGAGGGAGTGTTTTGGGCGAAGGATCCAATGCAAAGGATACGAGTTTAGGGGATGAGGCATTAAGTAAGAATAAGATAGGGACGAAGCGATCGCTTTTTTACTCGATGCATTCCCTGTGCACGTGCCTTTCTCCTACCTTTTGATGTCCCCCAATATTTCTCCTTTTTCTACTCCTACCTTCATTTTCTTTCCTTTTTACAAAGTTTCCAGGTTATTGTCATTCTTTTCTTTCTTTCTATATTCCCAAGTTTTACCACACCCCTTCACTAATTCAGTATACTCATGTCATGTAATTATGCTCTCAGTATAACTCCATGATCCTCACTCGCAATCCGAAATGTGTTTCCCCGCATTTCCTTCTTATATATGTATCATTTAGCATTCTGAGAATATTGAATTAGCGTTTTTGTCCTTACTCCTACAGATCAATACATTTCAAGTGTTATCAACTTCATAATGAAAAATCAGTGCTAATTATACGTATATGTATATATAGATGCAATTAATAATTTCCCATTCGACGCCATTCTGTTATGCATCATGAGATATTATTAACATATCCATCTGCTTCTTTATTATCGGCGTGAAAAGGAGACTTTATATGAATCACTTTTACTCCTCACACATCCTTCTTTTGTGAATAGGCGTGAAAAGGACATGGGCAGGACCTCTAACTTCAAGACTCAAATTAAATGCTTCTCTCTCTATTTTAGTGTTATCTCAATATTAAGCAATAAGTGATGAGGATATTTTGTGGAAAACATGATTAGCTAATTGACGATATATTGGATGAAGAGGGGAATGGCATTTGAAGAGAGAAAGTAATTAATATGGTGATAAAACATGAATAATAAAGTGGGATATAATGAGATCGTGGAATGGGAAATGGGAGGTGGGGTTTGAGAAAAGGGTCCCCAATGCCGGCCATTTGTGAAGTTTGGGATGATTGTCCCACGCATTTTGGCTTGGACCCAGGATCCCCAAATTTACTAATTCCTTAGCATCCAACAATCATCCTCCGCTGATTTTCGTATTTTGGGGCATATCTGTAAAGCTCATTGCAAGCAATATATGGCCAGAAAGTCCAGAGGGTACGGTGGAGAGATGATCTTCTCGGGTTTTATAAATAAATCCTGATACATTGAATTTACTGCAGAATTGCACATATATATATATCTATGTTATACATTTGATGCTGCTATTTTTAAGATCTTGATCGAATGTGTGTGAGAGGGAGCAGGTAGTTTCTGGATATGAAAATGACAAAGTGAATGTGCAGAAAATGGAGGACCCAACCAGATTGCTTGGATTTCACCACATGATGACTGATATACTTTCAGGAGTCTGGACCACATACACAGCCCACCCCTTGTACCTTTCTTTTTCTTCTTAATAATTTCACTCTTTCATCACTACTTCATCTCTGCCTTTTTCTTCTTTTCATTCACATTTACCACTTCTCCAACCTAGCCACCACGTTATTTCTGTTAGTTTAATTAACGTCGACCACAACAGAGTCTGTTATCTCTATGGACAATGCTTAACACAAAACTTGTTCGTTTTGCCCATATATAGTTGAGATGCAATAGCTACGTTAAGAAGCAATAGCAAATCTTGTCTTTCATCTATTAGCCTAAGTTAAGTGCATATTATTATAATTGTATAGTTTGATTTAAAGTATAAATTGCAGAGAGGACATGATGGTGTGGGGGAGTGTGTATAAGGGGGTAGAGAGGGCCAAACTTAAAATAATTATTTAAAACAAAAGGTGAATGTACACACTCTCATGGGACATAATTGCATCCTATGCTCATGCTTAATGAAATCAGTTCCCATATGAGATCATGATGTTCCCATCCCTAACAATCATGAATCACATCCCTCTATCTCCTGCAACAACATTTCAACCCAGGCCCTCCTCTCCACTTTCTCCTATATATATTTATATTCCCTGATTCCTTCCGCCATTATCTTTCTCTGTCGATCTCTCCCTTTTAATGGGTGCACAAAAACACACACACACACATGTATAGATTGATAATTAATATATGGACACCAGTGCGACCAATGACTGAGAGTTGTAGGATATAATGGTCTTCAATTTAAATTATACTTAAGTAAGATTCAGTTGAATGGTGAAAATAACAAAAAATGTAATGGATGACAAGTGGAAGCGAAACATGGGATTCTGGTGTGGTATTATATATCAGAGTGATAGAGAGTAAAATGAGCATGATGAAGGAGGAGGCAGGCTGATACGATGAGATATAGATGATCCCAAAACGTGGACGAGACAGAATAATAGGGCATGTCCCTTTATGCAGACAAGCTGCGCACCACCAACGTGCCCTTGTTCTTGTTGGCTCTTCCTATCTTAGCAACTATATCTTACGTTCTCGTCGACTCTCGTCCTTCTCCATTGGCCCACGCCGATATTTCCTATCTTAACCCATTCTCTTCTCCTCCCCTTTTTTGTTTCAAACAGCCTCCTAATAACTGTTTATGGCTTTTATTGATTTGCTTCTAATTATTAGCGTTAATGCCTTAATTATTCATTACCAACACCCATATATGCGACCCATCACCAGCAGGGCGCCATTTACTCTCGGGCTGCTAATCCCAATCATTAATAACCCCATCGACCAAGTTTCACTATCAAAAATTGAAAAAACACACTTAATTTAAGTTGGACCATTTTAAGTTTTAATGACTTCTATATTTCTTGGGCCACACGGGTCAAACTGTATACTTTAAAGGAATGAAATGGCGGGTGACATTGGACTTGTTGATTAAGGGGCGGCGGAAATCGTTTAGCGTTCTTGAATAAGTCGAAACATAGTGCGTAGGGTAAGTGCGTTTAATTAAGTAGTACTGGATAATAGCATTAACCCGGGGCTAATTATTAATGTTGTAACTTTGACTTAATAGGAATCATTCGATTCAACATCCTAAAGGATTGCTCAGCTCTTTGTTCAGGTGGGCTTTGTCTTTCCTTCTCCGCTAGAGCCATCTTTTCTATATTGCAGGAGCTATAGCGCTCCCCTTTCTCTTTGATTCATTCTTCTGTTCTTTCCTGTACTTTTTTTTTTCCTTTCAGTTTTTTCCTTCCAACCATTTTTAATAAATATGATGGAGCATCAAAACCGAGAGTTATGTTGTTCAAGAATTTTAACCCTAAGAAATTATTTTTGCGGAGCGGGTGTTGTGTCCTTAGGATACAAGCAACATGCCTCGCCTTGTTCATATGTTCATTAAATTAACAAGGAGAACAAGCTTCACTATTTAACGGCTTTTAATTTGTGTGTTTCCCCTTACCCATAGATATAAGAATATCATTCATAGTTAATTCCCCCAACAAGAAACAAATAGTAATCCATTCTCCATCATCTATTTTCTTTACATTTTATAAAACATGACAGTGGTCTATCTATCTCGTCCAATCTTTCCCCCTTTCGTTTAATTTTTAACGTCATGAAAGATTTCTGTTTTTTTTTTTGCTAAAGCATAGGTATCCTCTTATTAAAAGCAATTATATTCGAGATACTATCAGGTACTAAATGTAGACACTTCTTTCAGTAGGGATTCGAATTTTAGTTCGTCACGTTGTGAGAGACTAACCCAAACCCTGTCCTCCTTTTCCCACCTTTTTGTTCCCAAAAAATGAAAGTTTCCGGCCCAGCTCACCTTTATCACGCAAATAGGCCTTCGGCCTTGACAGCTGGTGGGCCGGTACCATTAGGGCCAGGCAATAAGGACGCCTTAAAGGCAAAAGGGTAAAGGAAGGGAAAAGGAAACCTAAAACAGTACGAGTAGTATTTAAATCAAATAAATTAAACCGTTCCACGCCAAAAAAAAAAAATCACGAAACTATCTAATTGTCAAAAAGAGGGTGGGGTATGAATAGTAGGGTCCAGATACTTTTAATGAGATAAAAATAATTTTAAATTATGCTAGAAAACAAATTTGGTTGACATTTTATAAGTCCATTTAATGCTTAAAAAATTGGACTAATGTGCTCAGCGTGTGAAGTGTTCAAAGCTGGCTACTTTCTCTAATGTTTATTGATATCTTACCAATGGGAGCCACAGGGTAACCATTTAGAATTGAAAACCACAAAAAATTCAAACTTGATCGCCCGTATTAGATTTTGAACAGTTTAAATCTGGTCTCAATCATAATCCGGAATCATATATGCCATCCTCTGTTTTGGCTTGGCAGGGGTGTGCCCTCGACGTATGCTCTCATTTAAATTCTAATCATACTTTACCCAAACAAGACATGTGAAAGAAAATTAGGCTGCCTTAATTTGTGCCGCATATGGCTCCTGATTAAACCAAAAAATAGCCAAATGCATGTTCATTTCACGACTGAATACTGAAATAGCAGCATCGCAACAGCGTTGTTTATGTAATCATAAGAACACAATAACTTGCTATATTTTTTCTTGAAAAAAAATTGAGAGGCCGAGTGGCGAACCCTTTACATTGCAGTAACTGGAGGAGGTTGGTAGCCCAGTCCATGTTGGTCTTCTGTCAAGGAATACGCAAATTTTGCAAACTAAAGACAGATAATTAGCAGCGTTGGAGTATTCTGTCTCCAGCAGAAAGCAGGGAAGCATTGACATGCATATCTGTAGAATTAAATGGGTGATCATATTCTTGTTCGTCCATGAACATATGAAGCCTGGAATATCCTTTGCCACGGTTTATCATTGGATCAGACTCCTCTTTCAAGTTCCACAGATGTGACTCCTCTTTCTTTCCAGCAGCCATGTCTTCTTTCGTGCTTGTATCAGAATTCTGAAGCATACCAATTTCACCCAAATCATCACGAGAGTACATCGTTTCAAATTCTACAGTGTGATGGTTGTTGAAGTCCGAGTGACATCTGCCGAATGGTGTTGACGATGATGCTTCTCTTGGAGCTGACCGTTCGCTGAAACTCCCAAAACCTTGAATTCCTCTGGTTACTTTCCGAGCACGTTCCCTCTCTCCCTTTAGAAGTGGCCCATCTTCCAGCAGCATCAATATGCGTTCCGATTTCTTCTGGAGAGTTAGGCCCCAATTGAACCTGCAAATACTCGAAATGTGGTCATGCCGGCGTCAATGAGAACGCTATGAGCCCCCGAGATCAAATTATTAAGAAATGCAAGCTCCATACCTTCTGTCATCAATATGCTGAAAGCCTTTCATCTGATTAATAACATCTTTGTCGCTCTGGAATTCCACTGCAACACTTTCCGGCCCATGAGTTAGTAGGTAGTCGAGCAAAATCAGAGAATTGTAAGAGGCCCTCCAATCCTTCTTTTCAAATTTAAGCAATCTGTTTCGAAACCATTCCTGTCAGTTACGTACCCATGATTTCTTACCACCAAAATTAACTTTGACATGAAAATCGGAACCTTTTGTGCAGAATCTCGACGATCCTCCAATACTCTTCAAGTTCAAAAGCAGCTCTAGAAATTAATCTGAGTGTCGGCGAAGCCGGGGGCCATGGATTTCCATTTGTAGCCTCTTCTGTCATCCTGCAAATATAGTAGAAAGGCCATATTAAGAGATTAACAGAGCCGAAAACCAGACCTAGAGCTATCTTCACACGAAGTCAAAATTGACGAGCTTTACAACTGTGCAGGGGTGACATCAGTGAGTGCTAATCTAGCTGTCTTGATTTTCTCCTTGAGGAAGAAAGAAGCTCGCTTTCTGAATTCGTGCAACAGGGGCGAGCTCATTTTGCTGTTCTTCCGCTGTCGGTCCTATGAATGGTCTAAACTTGGATTGGAATAAGCCGAACGCACAGCTCACAGCTACTCTTGTGATACAAGGGAACCAGCATCTGCATAATCAATTGGGTTTCGGATATAGTAACTAGCTAGTAAGCAAGAATAGATTAGAATTGATAGACCTTATGTGAAGATGAGAATTCAATGAAGAATTTCGCAAAGAACTTGCGGGTCAGATTTGAGTTTGAAAATGATGACAGGTCTGGAAGTCATTAGTGTCTTTGGCTTTGAAGAAGTAAACGCATAATAAAACCATGTGACGCTGTAAAGTCAACATGTCTAAAGTCATGACTTGGTTTTGAGGTTGAAATTTGAATATGCTTATTCCTTGGTCCTTCTGGAAGGACAAAAGAGGAAGCGCGTGTTGAAGTTGAAAAAGAAATGCAGGGGCATACACATTTGCAATATGGAGACGAAGGGCAACGTGGCCAGTTTGTGGCAGGTGTGAATTTTGCCACGCATGGATTTGCTGAGATGCCATCCCTCGACCATGCATGGAAAAGGACTTAGTGTTGAGGCGTAGTATATGGATGTATCAGCATAACTAAGAATGCATTATGTGCAAAATGACGCTTTATTTTTCTCCAGTTCTATGATTTATTTAATGCAGAAACAAACTTTTTGTGTATCCGATGTTGATGTTATAGGTTATGATCGATGTCCGTGTTCTTTATGGATTGATTGTTATCGGTTTTCTTTGAAATTTTGGAAAAGTTTTCCTTGAATTGACCTGCATTTTGCTATCTAGCTACTATGTAATCTCAGCAATCAGAAACCTTTTTTTCTGTTATTGTTTGTTTTTTAACATAAATTGAGTTGGATGAGGTGGGATTCAAGTTATTGTTTGTTGTTGTTTGTCTTGTACTATACCAGTAAGTCACATAGACTAATACTACTTCAGTCCAAGAAAAGACTAATACTGCTATGTTGCCCCTCTTCCCCCCCCCCCCCCAAAACCACATCTGCTGGTTGGCCGGAAAAAAAAATTAGCACCTCTGCTGGCAGCCAACGCTCTGGTGATTAATGAAGCAATTAATTGAGTGAGATTTACGAAGTAAACAAAAGGAAAGAAAATAAAAAGGCACCAGGAAAGAGATGTATACTGGCCAAGATGGTTTATGAGAGAGGTGAGAGCACATGATGCTGGAGGGGATTTGCGCTTTGATTATTATTAACCCCTAAATAAGTCGATTGCACCATCTATGTTATTCCTCCTTTCACTAAAGTCCACTACGACCCCTGCCAAAAGGATTAAAAACTCATTCCCATACAACACAACTGGTGATTAGTTCGGTTCATTTCTCTATCATTTATTCTGTGTAATAAATACAACTTTATATTGATTATTAAGTTGTGCTGGAATTCTCTTTCAGCAAAATGACACACCCCTTGCTTATTTTATTTCATACTAGCACTTCAATAGATGTAAGTTCTCTTCGGCAGAAAGAAAAACTAAATGTATATTATAAAGCTTAGTTAAAAATGGGATATCATTTCAAAGAAAGGAGTGACTTTGCACTTTGGGGGAACAATGGGAGAGGTGAGGGATTCAAAGGCATAATGATTCAATATTTGCAAAGTGGGAAAACCACCCGTAGCCACCTTCTCCACAACCCACTTGCATCCACCCCCCCCCCCAAAAAAAAAACCCTCTCCCACTTCTACCTCTATTCTACTACTCTGCCTCAAATGGAGTATTTTATATTCATGTTTTTAATTTTATTTTCTTACAAATATAATATTTCCAATCTTAAAAAAATGTGGACGTTTGCTTGATTAAATTCAAGAGAGAAAAAAGAAATAATATTTCATTTTTAAGAGAAAAAATATTTTTTTGTTCACAGGTTGGCGGATATATGGAAATTCGATTCAATTCAACTGAATATTTTTATTATTTCTTGCGTCTGATAAACATGTTGGAGCGTGAAATTGGATATTATGAATGTTGATGAGGAAAGCACATTGAGGGGACCGACCTTGTTGGTTGACTAAGTAATCCAAAAACCAATTATGAGAGATGGCACGGTGGATTCTCCACAAATATCCAAATTCCAAACCAACTGAAATGGAGTTGAGTTGGGAACTTTAACCTATCACGATGCGCTGGGTGTTAAGAATTTATTTTAGGAGCAACAAATAATAGTGGTTCAGATGTGCAGAACTGAAATTCAATGACATGAAAAGCAAGAGTTCACGGCGTGGCCTGCATCTAATACCCACCTTCCCTGCCTGCCCTGCATTTACTCCCAAGTTCAATATATTGGTTCTCTCTTCAACTTTTCCTATTTTTGCATCATACCAACTTGATATTTTGCAGCAGTAGTGTTCAATTTTTCATCCGCCAAAATACTGTTCCTCAGACTTTGATTCATTTCGCCTTTCTTATTTAATATTTTACAGTTTTTCTTGCTCTATTTCTCCCTCAAATTTTACTACGATTTGTGCCAAACAGAGTGGCAGGAATTGATGAGGTGTGCAGATGCACGGATAAGCTTTTAAGGAATGACTTGGCCAGAAAATTACAATTCACCGTAATATAATAAACTTATAATGAACAAAATTCAGCTTTTACAACTTTATATCCCTCGCCACCCGCTAAATTGCACAACTAAGTCTCTTAGGCTCAATCCCAGAGCTTACTTGCTATTTTACAAAGGGCGACGAGGGAGGTTAAATGAAAACGACAAAAATCAAATGCGTGACCCTTGGGCACTATATATCTCTCCTTTTTCAAGGTTTTCTTCCTCAGCTTAAGGTATGGATTTCCCTTACAGTTATACACAGGATCTCCATATCCTTCCCTCCAAGGAAATAACAATGATAGAAACATCATCATGGTAACGACGCCTGTCTCCCTGTGGTATTTCCAGCAACTCGTGGAAGTCCAAACCTGAGGGCAGTGATAAAGACTTGGTGAAAAATGGTCCCTTGATTTGTTAAAAGGCATATATGTATTTAGACGAGATATTATTAGACGCACCAGCTTTCTTTGCAGCACGGAAGAGAACTTCTTCGACCAAATGCTGAGCAGGGTCTCCCTCAGGCTGCAACGTGATGAAAAGCTCAACTTCTGTTACAGCCTCTTCGTTTGTCAGGTATTGATAAAGCCCATCAGATGACAGGATCAAAAATTTGTCTTTTGGCCCTAATCTGTGGTGCTTTAGGTATGGTAGGCAGGTGATGTATGGAGACGTTCCTACATAGTCTATTCTGAACATTTCCAGAAGCGCATTGTTCCACTTCGGCTGCAACATTTCAAATAATAACAAGCATTACCAAAATGCCAGAAGGCAAATCCAAAAATGAACATCCATCAATCGTATTTGGAAATATCTCTAGTTTCTGAAAATAGATTGATATAGCACTAGAGGATGCAGAAATCTTTTGTTGTAACAAAAGGATGCAGAAATGGGTAGAATCATAGCTTTCTTCATCACAACATGTAACAGAAAGCAATACCAACCTGCTTGAGATAGCCGGCACCAAATGCTCGAGTAACCTTCAGGGAACCCTTAACGCGATCATTTACCATTGGGCAAGCATCATCTGGGTGTTCTCTCAGTATTCTCTGGACCTCCTGAAAAATAAATTAACACTTCATTTTGATCAAGATGAACGAGAAAAAATGAAAACTGACTCGGAAAACTTAAAAAGCAGCTAGAGGACTTACTTCCTCGACATTGGTAGAATGATCCTTGGTTAGTTGACAGGCACTTAGACTAGGCACCAAATTTGATCTGTCATCGTCCAAGCATTCAAGATCATGCATTGTTTCTTCATTGATCCTCTCCAAGTCCTGCTTGATTTTGCCAAGCCAATAATCAGGCTCTGCCTTTTGACCCAATACCGCTCTGCTATCACCAACGTTCATCACATAAACATCCTCTCCTTTCATTAACATTACGAGAACGCACGAACCCATCAGAGCTAGCTCCGGATTTTCCATGACCATCTTATCCGCAACTTCTAAATAAGACTCCTCTGTTTTTCTCAGAGCTTCCGAAAGAGCTTCCAGTACATCTGAATGATTTATTGGGTTGTTGCAGTCACCGGAACCAGATCGATTCAACTGTTCCTTTAATCTCCTATCAAGTTCTACTCTTTCACGGTCCCACTCACACTTCCACCTTCTCTGATTCTCCTCCCATTTCTTTGTCGCCCCTCTGTACTTGTTCTTGCAATTCTTACCTCGCTTTTTCTTATCAATATCCGCATCTCCACTTGGGCATGCATCATTCTCCTGCTCGACACATTGAGAACAAGCAATTACCACCCTATCCTTCCCAACATCACTATCGCTGCCTTGTAACGATCCTTCCAAATTTGAATTATTCGTCGGAAGACCGGACATGTCGGGGGTGGCGTTGGAGGATTCAGACCCGTCGTCCCATAATAATCCCTTCAATTCTTTATGAACAGCACCATACAAATTAGACAGAAGGTAATCGGGAGCATCAGGACCATTAAAGCCATCGTAAATCCCCACGAAAACCCAACCGTGCTCCTCTGAAACCACAACATGGACTCTATCCTCGCCCGCTTTCCCTTGAGCCCATTGAAGATTTTGACTTTCCATCGAATCATCATCTTCTAAACTACCATCGCTGCTGAAATTCACACTGCTTACCATCAGGTTATCGTTGTGCCTCTCTGGTTCGATAATCCACTCCGGTTCTTTAATCCCTTTGATGGAAGAGACAATTGAGTGTTGTCCCTGAGATAATGTCTTCGAAATCGCCCTCTGAAGAACTTGAATCCATCGGCCTTTTCGCGTTCTGGGTCTAAACGCAAAACCCCCGTGAGAGTAGCTTCTTTGAAACTGATCAGAACTACCCCTTTCCATAGGACCCGAAAACAAGCCCCGATCGATTGGACCCGACATAAATCCACGCTCTATTGGACCAGACATGAATCCTCTTTCAAGCGGACCCGATCCAGGAATCAGACCAAGATTGCCCGAGAAAGGACCGGAATTCATGAGATTTCTAGGGATTGGCTGCAGAGGAAGGGAAGCAAAAGAAGTTGAACTCTCGAAAGCTGCAGCTCTGTCGATGCAACCGTAAGAGTACAAATCAACGAAGGCTGTGGAAAGAGGGGTAGATGTGTTGGCACTCACAGATGCGCCGGAGATTGTTCGGAAGGTTGTGGTCTCCTCACAGTGGACTTTGGAAGAAGACAGACGGGTCGGGTCAGGCCTAACATAGCAGAAGGAGTGGCCCAGTCCCTCGTCAAGAGGCTGAGAGATCAAATAAGATATGTCCTGCTTCTGTTGACGGCCTCCACCGCCGGTAAAGCAAACGGTCAACTTGCATATGCCGTTGCCCATCGGAAAATGAAAGAATCCAAGAAAATAAGCAAGCCTGCTGCAATCAGATACTCATGGCTGCAAGATGAATAGGCAGGAAATGTGAGAGACAGAGTAAAGAAAGAGAAGGCAGAGGTATGAAGAAGAGGTGGAAGGGAGGCTGGGGGCGTTGACTTTTAATAAGGTTTTCTGAAGATGAAAACAACCCAAAACAAAAACAAAAACAAAACTCTCGTTTTCTACATAAAATAAATTCTTTCCGATTTTCGATGTGTGGGGGGCATTGACTTGTTTTAAGGCTTAAGTAGAGAATCAAAATTTTTTATAAAAATATTAAAAATAAAAGTGAAACGACCCTTTTGCCCCTGCCCGCAGCTTCTTCCACCGACCCTCCCATCGGTTCTTCTCCCCGGCGGCATCACCAACGCCGGTCACTCACAGCACAGACAAACGAGTAAACATGTGAAAGAAGAAAAAAGGCGATGTCGATGGGTTGAGGAAGGAGCTGGAGTTGAAGTCGGATGACGGAGATAATGGCGACGATACGGAGGATTTTATCAAAAATCAGATCAATACCAATCGGCCAACACCATCGAATTCGAACAGTAAGGAGGGATTTATGATAATTACAGCAAAAACTCGAATTAAAAGTCTGAGCTTGAAACTAACCGCAAGTTACAGCCAAAACTCAGATCCACTTTGATTTCACCAAAATTGCAAATTGCAAAGTCCCAAGGTCGAAAGCAGAAATCGGACGGCGAGATTTTCCGACGGCGAAGATCTGTGATCTATCATTCTTGGGAGTGAACGAACCTGCCACCAACCAGAGCTGCGACTAGGAGAATAGGTGACACCGGCGATGACGGTGGAAGTGGGCGACGCTACCAGCTTGACGAGGAGCGGAGGGTCGAAGCTTCGAAGGGTGGAGACGAGCGCACAGTCGTGAGTTTAGGATCGGAGCTTCAAACTTCAAAGGATGGGGATGAGGAGGGCATGTGTGGAAAGAATGGTGAGGAACGAGAGGAAGTGGGGATTGATGAGGTTATCGGAAGCTATCGATTCCCAAGTTTTGACTTTTGAGGCATGGTCACGAATTCTGGGTGTGGGTTCAAGAAAGTCAAAATGCTGAATATCAGGAAAAACAAATATTTTGGGGTTGAAAAAAAAAGCAGGAGAGGATCACCGTTGGATACAGCGGAGGACGCAGACGAAAGCAAGAGTTGACTTGCACGTGGCATGGGGTCATTGGAGGTGAGTGTCAACTGGAGGTTTCCATTTGCCTTTGGGGACGTGTTTTTATTATTTGGGCGATGGAGGAGTTGTTAGGTAAAGGTGGTGTAGGCCATTTATTTAATTTTAATTGGGAGGGTTGAATTGACAGATGAACAGAAGCGGAGGCGTTGGATGTTTGGGAATGAAAGCTATTGTTTCGTACAGTTAGTATTAGACGGATTAGAATTTAGCCCAGCGGTTAATTAAAACAGATGAGAAAAGCGGACCAAGAAAGGCATATAGATATATACTTTGGCATTGCTTTCCAAAGTGAATGGGTTATGAGAGAGATGAGCACGTTATGTTGGAAGGAATGTGTGACTTTTGAAAGTCATGGAATTTGTCCTTTCTCGACCATTCCTTGATTTTTAATGCACCCAGATATATACCCCTCCCACTCTCTTCCCTTGTTTTTTTCCCCTTTTAAACATCTCAATTTCATTTTGTTCGCACCCTTCAGTCATGTACATGTCCATTTCACAACTCCATTCGGAAAGGATTAAAAAGTCGTTTCCACACAATATGAACTAATTAAGAATGAATTATAATTTACCCCCTCAAGCTCAATTAGAAGAGATGGGGGATATGAGAACCCTCCAGCCATCATCGCCCTGAAGCGTTCTTCAAACAAGGACTGGTCAGACAATATGAATAAACAGTGCCTCAATAATTAGACTGTTTTTGTGCTCGTTGACTTGTATAATAAACACAAGAGCCCTATTAAATCATCACGCTTAAATATTTTTGTTGGGTATTTGAGGTTGAACAAGGCATGTCAAAGATGGGGAGATTTCAAGTATTCTAAAACGCACAGCTAAAATAGCCAATTATTATGGGATCTTGGAGCCTTTTGCCAGCAGTTCATAATTCGCAGATGGCCATCCATTTTGAATGTCTCCCAGTGCCTGGGCATTCTCCTTTTATGGAGGAACTTCATCCACGCTGTTCAATGAGAACACGTGTTGTTGGATGCTTTTTGACTGCTGGATTCATCTGGCGACCTGCATTCATCCTCTAACTCTTCACAATTCACATATTCGGCCTCAGGTATTAAGCAAATCCTTTTCTCTTCTTCAGCTCATCCCACTGATTTTAGCGGAAACATTTCTCCCAAGAAAATCACACACCACTTTCCTATTTTATTATTTTTCTCTTTTAATAAGATATTACTCCTCCGATCCTTAATATAAGACCCATTTAACTAATTTGATTAGATTAAGGAAGTTAGGTAAGTTAGTTAATTATAAGAAAAGTGACACATTTTTCCTAAAATACCACAATCATCTTTCTTAATATCCCCTCTCCTTTTTATACTTGATTATGGTTGAAGGAGTATCCATAGGGATAATTTAGAGAAAATTAATAAATATGAGAAATGGGTCCTATATTTAGGACTAAAACCAACTTAAGAATTGGGTCCTATATTAAGGACCGGAGGAGTATAAATTAACAAAATTTACTCGCAGGAAGTTTCCGCGTAATCTTCCCCAAAATATGCATAATTCACCTCCCACTCTAAAAACACGTGCATCTAAAAGAGCCTGACACGTAGCAAATAAAATGATTATGCTGCATCCCCGGCATAAAAGGCAATTGGTTTTTGCTCTACTTATATTACACAGACAAAAATTAGTTGTTTTTTCAATCATATATCCTAAACTAATAAAATCTGCGTTGACAAAAAAAAGGGTGGGAGAGAGAGAGAGTAAAATATCACAAAGACACTCCGGGTCGGAAAAATTCTTTTCGAGCAATCAAGTCTTTATTTAATTTTTTTTTGGAAAATAAATAAATAAAAGGGAGCAAAGGAAGAGGGATTCTGCACTTGAGGGAAATGGAGAAGGTGAGGGATTCAAAGGTATAATGATTGAATATTTGCAAGTGGGAAAACCACCCGTAGCCACCTTCTCCACAATCCATTTGCATGTCCCACCTACCCTCCCCCACTTTTATCTTCACTCTATCCCTTCTTTTTTCTAGACCAAGATTTTATTTTGATATATAGTTCAATCCTTTTAATTTTATCTCTTTATAAACACACACACACACATCTTTTCGAATTATTCGAATTAAATAACGTGGCCATTAATAGTTGGCTATTTTAGCTGTGTGTTTTAGAATAATTGTAATAATTAATAGGAAAAAATATATGTTTTTGGGTTAGTTTGGATATATTACTTTCGGTCTTAATTATATAAACGAGATCTTATAATTAAGACCGGAGGTAGTACTACTGTAAGACATGGAAGCGGAATTCCAGTAATGAGTAGTTTAGAATGATTCATGGGGTGAGATAAGGAAGGATGTTGGAGCGTGAAATTGGAGGTTATGAATGTCGATAAGGAAAGCATAATGAGGGGACCGACCTCGGTTGACTGATTAATGTGAGAACCAATCATGAGACGGCACAAATATGTGCGCCCATTCGCTCATTCTAAACCAGCGGCACAGTAATTTAGCATCACGCTTCTAAATCTCTCCATCTGGTCTTGTGTGAATCAGCCTATGGGAATGGGACGGAACAAGCACATATGGCCTAATCGCATTGACTCTCTCGCTTCCCCACAGGAATGGTCATTATTATAGTAATGTAGCTTTGGATCCTTAAACTTGACTTTAATTAAGTGTATGTTATTTTATGTTGTTGGCTATATCAGAGATGCTCCCACTTGCCGCAAAATTCAAACCCCAACCCTTGTCCACTGATGCTCGCTCCTCACTGGTATATTTAATTATTTTATATTTGATCAGGGCTTAGTGCGATCTCTCTTGTTAATTACTTGGTGGACCAATTTCTTATGATTATTCCTAATGCTCTCCACTTCACGGATTACGTCTCTCTTTGGGTCACCTATATTCACTATATATTCATGCAATTTTTTATTCACATATAGATGGAGTATTGCTTTTGGATCCAAACTCTGATCTCTCTTCACTTGGAATTTTAAATTTTCAACTTTCCGTTTGTTTATTTAATAATATTTGAGGTGATGGTGTGGGATGGCCTGAAACGGCAAAGAGAATGTGGGCGATATAGTAAGGCAAGAAAAATGTAGGTGGAATGGGACTGGGGAACAGAATGAATGGATGGAGGAGCTGAAAAGCAACATATGATGGTGAGGAGGAGGGGGGAGGGGAGGGCCAAAATGTCAAATTAAATTGTGATTAAGGTTACGCGCTTTGTCTGTCACATTATTAAGTTGACAATCAGAGTCATTGTTTCAAAGTCGTAGCTTGATGTCATTTCTTTGCTTCGCATGCCCTCCTTCTTATTTTCCCCACTCAATCCATACACGCAGCCATCGGTACAGGGCTACCCAACCAAAAAAAAAAAAAGGAAACAAAAACGCCCACTGGGTTATTGATAAATTCATCCAATTAAATTAAAGCATCATCATCATCTTGTAACTAAATAACCCATTCACCCCTCAGTGGGACTTTGGCCCGATGGAATAAAAGCCTGCCCGACACGGGGGAGTTTGAAACTGCAGGTGTATGCGTTTAATTCTTTCTCTTTCTGGTTTTTAATACTCCTCTAGTTTTTAATATAAAATATATTTAATCATTTTGATTAGACTATAAAAGTTAGGTAACTTAGTTAATTATAAAAAATATGACATATTTTTTCTAAAACACCATAATCATTTTTTTAAATATTCTCCCTCCCTTACTTTACTTTTTTTATTATGGTTGAGGAATTATTAATAAGGGTAATTTGAAAAAAATTAATAAACACGAGAAATAAGTCCTATATTAATTTAAGACTAAAATTAACTTAACAATTAGGTTGTATATTAAAGACCGGAAGAGTATACAAGTTACTTGTACTTTTATTTTGATCTTAAATGCAAAGCCTTGATCTACACCATCTCTCTTATTTACTACTCCCTCCGTTCCTTATTATAAGAGACAATAACTAAATTACATTGATAAAAAATAGTTAAAATTAGTTGATGACAATTAATATGTAAAAAGTATACTATTTTTTCCAACAATGCCCCCATTAATAAGGAGAGAGTATGAGAGAGAACAATTAAATTATTAAAAGAAAGAGAAGTAGGAGGGAGGGAGAGTATGAGTTTGAGACAAAATAAATAGGGGTAAGATAGAAAATTAATACAAAAAAAATAGGGACAACTTTTAAGTGTCTCATATATATGGAAACATGCTATAAACATCAAATGTCTCTTATAATAAGGAACGGAGGGAGTATTTTTTTCTCAAATTTATTTATTAAACTGATAAACAACATAATGTTAGACGTGGCCTTTGTTTAATTAAAGGCTTCCTGCAGGTACATATCTGTTTTTGTTACTTTTTGCTGTGAATTCAAGATGCCTGGTGAAGTAAAAGTGAGCAGAGGTAAATTACTTACCAATTATTCTGCCCAGCATCGAATCTTCCCACAAGCCTAGTGGCGTTGCTTTTTGTTACTTCAGAATAAGTCTGCTGTTTGTTCACTTTATAACTAATTGCTTCCCATATTAGCTTATTATTTTCTTACAGCGTGTCTTGCTGCGGCAATCTTTTCTTGTTTAAACACGTGTTTCGGTTGCTTCCTCATTGCCCAAACCCAGAATCAAAACCCTGGGCACCATGAATTATTGCAAAATTTTGACAGAGCATGGCCATCTTAGATGCCAGGCTTTATGACAACTTTTGATTTTGATATTTGAAGGGAGTATGTTCAGAAACCTTGACTTCTTTGGAATCAAAATTTTCAGTGCAGAAGCTACTAAGTTAGATCATTAATATAAGATCTAGTTGATTAATTTGAGTATATTAAAAAAATTAGCTAAGTTAGATATTATAAGAAATAGGCGTT